AAACGATAAATTAGGTCTACTATAGGGACAAAAGTAACTCTTACACCTAAAATAAATAAATGATAGAAGAAATACAAATTTTAAAGTGAACACTCTTCCACCTTAAACAAGCATTAGATCCATCACTTTCTTCAAGAAATTTGATTTATTTTCTTTCTGACTTTAATTTCGTTTGATTTTGTTTAAAAAGTTTATAATATGAAATTTCTTTTCCATATAAAATATATGCTTGAACATTATCCGATTGAGTGTAATATTGGAGTGTGGTACTACGTTTGCTTCAACCTTAAATCCTAAAAACAAACTTATTTATTCAAAAAATTTACTTTAAATAAATCATTTAACAATTGAAAAAACAAAATAAAATTTTCTCTCATATTTTAAATAATAAATTATTATTTGATAAATCGTCAATAATTAAAAATAATTAGCATGAATGAAAATAATGTTTACAGCCACTCAAACAAGGTGTGACCTACCCATGGACTCGCCGCATATTTCTCCTCCAAAATGCTATAAATCAGAGTCAATGAACCCTCAAATCATCCATCACATTTTCACTGAATAAATTAACATTCACAAATAACAGGGGAAAAATGGCAAAGATTGCTTTAACCATTGTTTTAATCTCAATGATCATGGGTCTTTCAATCCAGTCCGTTGTCGGTGACGTCGCAGTTTCAGCTCCGACAACAGCAGACGTTAAAGCAGCTGCTGAATCGGTCTCGGCCGCTGCCGGACCGACTAAAGACGGAGCGAAAGAGAAATCTTCGTCATGGGTCGATTGGACCAAGAACGAGATCAGGTTAGGAAAAAATGCATGAAAATTAACTTCATTTTGTTTCTCATATTTATATATGCATGTGTTTTTGTATGTTATGTATAATGGTAATTTGTGATGTGCAGCGGTATTGAGGGTAGGATTGAAAGCCTGTTTTCTTCGTCACAATCTTCGGCACCGGCACCGGCACCGGCAACTGCAAAGAAGGTTTAAGCTGAAGTTGTCACCGAACAAAAGATACAGCATATATACAATAAATTATCAAAGCATGTTAATGTAATATATTTGGAGTAATTCAATTTGTTTCTCGTCCTGTAACGATGGTTAAAATTGATAAATTTATAAAATAAATATGCAAAATAAAAAATAATTAATAATCTAATCATCTATTAATATTGATCAAACTGCCATTAATAAGCATATTCAGGTAGATAGGGATGGTTAAAATATTGAAATTTGATAATTTTTAATTTAATTTAATTTTATATTATATGTTGGCTTTTTTTTGGTACAAATAAAAGCTACTAGTTTATTAACAAAGAGATATATCTAACATTACAATAAATATAATATTAGACATTCTTATAACCTTTAACACATGATATTAGCCACTTGAAATCATATAAGAATCGTACCAAGAAAATGTTAAAAACACATTTAAAAAATGCGAACAAAAGATAGATACGAACAAATTTGATTGCATCATCAAACGAACCCCAATCAGAGATTAAACTATTAATAGATCACCGACAATCACAAACAAAGTCGAGTGTCGTGAGAAAACTATCTCAGAATGAAAACAACATATTCAGATCCAATATGAGGGTCCAAAGCAAGGAATATCAACGGGATAATAAATAAGCGACATCTTGATCAGTCGATGTGTCATCATATTCAATCCTGGAAAAATTAAAAAAAAAATGCAAACAACTGAAAATGTGTCAATGGACAAATAAAAACATGTTATAAGGACATACGAAAACGTGTCATATAGACGAAATTATTAGAAATTAAAAAATAGAACATAAAACAAAACAATATGCAATAAAAGAAAAAAAGAAAAAATGTTAAACAAAAAAAAAGAAAAAAATAAGAAAAAAAACATATAGAGAAAAAAAACAAGGTTTTGCCATTGATTTTTCATATAAATATGACTATCTTTAGGGTAAATTACATGTTTAGTACTTAAATTATCAGTTTTAGTTTCTTGATTTTATATGTAACTTTTGTGTGATAATTTGTGATGTGCAACTATATTCAGCGATATTCGGAATAAGTTTGACAACCTTGTTCATCACCAACTTTGGCGTCGACATTGAAATCTGCTTTGACACCAATGACTGCAGAGTCACTTCATAAAGGAGACACCAGGTATGCAACAAATTATCAAAGCATATTAATGCAATATATTTGGAGTAATTCAGTTGGTTCTCATCCTATAACGACGGAGATTTGACCGGAGAATCATTGTTACTATTTGGTTTAATGGTATTTGAGGCTCAGATTTTTTTCAAAAGAAAATTTATGTGGTCACTGAATTTATTTAGCAGTCAATATAGTCTTTAAACTGAAGAAAAAAAATTATTCTGGCTCTTCGACCAATGATACCAGATGTTGATCATTATGATGCCACGTGATAGTTCATAGTGGTTAACCGTTAACGTCGAGGACTTCATTAAAACCAAATTAAATGTTTAATGACCTAATTGACAAAGATTTTGACATTATAGTTAAAATAGAATCAAACCATTAGTTTAATGATCTTAAGTAGTTTGCGCTTATTTTTGGTTTTATATGTAACTTATGATAACTTGTGACGTGTAACTATGTGCAGCGATATTTCAAATGATGTTGAGGATCTTCTCTCTGCATCATCGTCATCGTCATCTTCGTCTTCGACACCGGCACCGGCACCACCGGCACCAACAACTACAGAGGAGGCTTGAGCTGAAGTTATCACTTCATCGAGGATACGTCATGTACGCTAAAAAATTTCAAAGCATGCTAATGTAATATATTTGGAGTAATTCGATTGATTCTCATTCAATATTGATGGCGATTTGATATGAGAATCAATGTTTTATTTTTTTATTTTTTATTTAACGATATTTGATGTGTTCAATTTTTTTTTGCAAAAAAGGGGTAAATTATTAAATTGATCATCTACCTTTTATATTTGTATATTTTTTCACCAAAATTAATGAAGATAAATTTTGGTCACTTATGTACTGATTTTTGCTAACAAGTGGTGTAAGAGTAGCCTTTTAAGGCACTATATTACCGTTTAATACAATGTTGTAAATATAAATGGCATGCTAAAACCTTGAAAGAGTGTCCTATAGAAAATGTTTATAGTCTAAATTTGTAGACTTTTATACCCTCCGTTAAGATATAATCTTGTGATGTGATATCTGATGAGCTCAAATTATACACCTGAGATAATTCCATTAACAATCAATCATATCTATCGGGTATGTTGACCTATGATTACGAATAGTAATCGTGACCCTGCACTTGACATATGTACTAAATGTTAGTATAAAAACCCTTAAGACGGATAGAGAGGGGCTTCTTTCTAAATCTTCCTCTCGAGCTCCTTCTCTCTCTAAGGACTCATCCTTTACTTTATCATTAACACCACCTATCAACGATCGCTCTCTTACCGACCTTCGAATTGAATATAGGCTGTTCTTGTCATGTTTGTTGGCCTTATCATGATGTGTAAATACACACAGGAAGAGCTGGGACAGAGAGAAAGATTGGAGAAGGCCAGCTGCATGCAAAGAGTAAGCATTGTCATCAATGATATTCATTTGGCATTTTTTTTTTCGTTTTTTGCATGAAATAGATGTTTAATGTAGTCTGGTATAATAACAATATTAGTCCTCAAATTTTATAAATTCTACTAATATGGTCTTAATTCGAAATAATTCAATAAATTTAATTATTTATATTTAAAATTTTATTAATTTATTATTGTTTTGTGATATTATCAAAACAAATAAATTCATCAGCTCAAAGTAACCGTTGAATAACTGCATTTCCCCCATAAAACAATAATAAATTACTGCTAAGTCATTATTATTCTAATAAAATAATAAGATATATGGAGGAAGAAAAAATAATTTAGAAGAATAATAATTGATAGTGTTTAGTAATGAATAATTAAAAATTTTGAATTATTTGAATTGAAATAAAATTAATAGAGTATATTTATTTTAGAATTAAAACTATCATTGTATTAGATCACGTTACTGTTCTGTCTAATAGTACAATCACGTTATTATTCCGTCTAATATTTAACGGTTAATGATATAGTTGTAACTTTCTAAAAAAAGGTAAATTATATCATTCTTCACTTAACTATATTTTCTCTCTTATTTTTTCACCCAACTTTCAATTTGCTCAATTTATTTACTGAACTTACAGATTGAATAGTTTTGCTTACGCCTCTATTTTCTCTCTAATATCTTGATGAGGTGGTATTTTTTAATATAAAATAATTAAAAATATTAAATAAAAATATAAGGTGGTCGGATGTCACTGTTGGCCATCGTCACTCGCCGTAGATGGTGGTCGTTCCGTACCAAATTTCATGGGTCGCTTTACCTCAACATCGTGAGTTCGAATCCGACTTCCATTTTTTCTGAAGTTGCTCAGAAGTCCACGAACTTGAGATTAAAAGTAAGAAAGCCGAAACGTTTCAATCGAAATTCATGGGTTTTGAGACATTTTTCGATGAAACAACCACCAGATTTGGACTCAATGTGTTAAAATGAATTGACCCATTAAATTTGAGACCGAACAACCACCTTCGACGACAGTGGCCTGTGGCCAAAATGAAAATGACATGATGACATGTAGAAAGAAAATGAAGAAGAGAAGGAAAAAGGTAAATCATACCATTCTTCCATGAACTTTATTCTCTTTTGTCTATTTTACTGACTGTACTTTCAATAAGATTCAAAACGACATCGTTTTGGTTTTATAATTTAATTTTTCAAAACAACGTCGTTTTTATGTTTGTGCTACATCATAATACCGTTAAATACCATTAAATAATTAATGACATAATGAGCAAAATGATTCAATTTGTAAAATTCAGTGATCAAATTGAGCAAATCGAGAGTTAGGTAAGAAAAATTAGCTTAGTGAGAAAAGGTATAATTTACCCTAAAAAATGGTTCATTTATACCAACATTTTCTTCATTCTCATATCTTAAATGAAAATGCTTTCATTGTGTAGAAAATATCAATTTCCTGACCCAAATTGAAATTTTTAAAACAATCTAGAAAAGTTCATACAGCTGACAGATGGTACACAAAAAGTTTACTCTGTTTCAGTGATCCGAATCCATAATATATGATGAATGAATGGAGCTTTCTTTCATTAATCAGGTCCCTTTTTTAACTTGGAGATTTTCCGGTAACATGCTGCGCGATCCACCCGAGACCATCGTACAGCCCGTCTCCAGTGAGTGCAGAGCAGGCTTGGATGTGCCAATCGTGAGTTTTTATGCTGTGAAGCGAAAGGGCATCGGTGATTTCAGCCGGGGTCATTGCATCCTTTAGGTCTTGTTTATTTGCAAAGACGAGTATAACGGAATTTTGTAGGTCGTCGTGTGAGAGCAACCTGAAGAGTTCCTCCTTCATTATGGTGATCCTGGCCCTGTCCACACTGTCTATCACCACGATAACAGCGTGAGTTCCGCGATAGTATGTAGCCCATGATGTCCTTAGTCGATCTTGTCCTCCAAGATCCCATACCTGAGGCAAATACAAACATTAGATGTGCAACACATACATAAAATCTAAATGAGTTACATTCATGACCCTCATCAGTCTCTCAACTCTCCTCGGCTTAGCATAATTCTGTGACGAACGAATCTCGTCATATTTTGAGACCTGATGCAAATTATCTAATCTGATGGTATCTAGCTATACAGCAATCAGCAGTTAAGTTACTTCACATTATAGAATTTCGAGAACCAAATTAGAAAGAAAGAGTGACTCAACTCGAACAATTGAATAGCATTAGAAATGATGGAAAACAAGGAATGGAGCAGGTACAGATCCATCCAATCAGCACAGTGAACAATGATAGTTTGTCCATTTCATCGTATTTAGCATGCCTCGTCTATTTCAAGAGGCATACACGGAAAACAATTTCGTGTCGTTTCAATATAATCTGCTACTGTCAAGAAGTCTCTTAAAGAACCTACGACATAAAACTGGATAACACAATATATAGGGTAAACATATATTTTTATCAAACCACATAATGCACTTTCCTTTAAAAAAATTTGTAGAGCTTTGTTAGTGGAACTAGTAAAATGTGCTTAATAGGCTTGTAACTAGGCAGCTTAAAAGCTCTTGACAAACCCTTGGTTTATAGATAAACATATGGCCATGAAAAACAGGAAATTGCAAAACAAATGTGAGATGCTTCATAGTTTTACAACTCAGGGTTTCAAATAGCTGTGGCATAACAGTACAGCAGATGCTATGTCAAGGTAGAGGCACTGTCCCCCACCCATAATAGCCTAAATAGCATTGTTTATATATATATAAGACCTCATGAATAGTGGTTGATTGCAGCTGCAAATAGTAATGGAGACTAACTGCGATAACCCTTTAAAAACATTCTTGTTCTCAACAAAGTGAAGGACGGAATATGAAATAAGACAGAGTAACAAGTAGTAGGACTAAAACGAGAATATCAAAAGACATTGGAGAGATGCAGAGCAGTAGATTGGATAATACAAACAAGGCTAAAACTCATGATCTCATTGCTCAAGCCGATATCTACAACTCAAGTTTAGGTTGTGAAGATTTACATTATTTTAATTTCCTATCTAAGGTGTTTGGTTTTCTTGTAAAACATTTCAAGGTCAAAACCCATAAACTCAGGTCAAGGACTAGGGCAGGAGGAGATGGGTGGTCGGAATCGAGCAGCACAGGACAGGATAGTACGACGAGATTAGATAGTGTTCATTATTATTCAATGTGAACCAAATAATTAGAAATTGCTTATATTTTGTTGCTACCATAACACATAATTAACTAACATGCACAAGCATTGATATAATACGGATAGGGGGCACGGAAGCTTCTAAACAATTAAGACATGAATATAGCAAGATACAACAATAAAAACAACTTTATATGATAATATACAGTTAAATTTAAAGCAATTTTGTAAAAAAAATCAAATATTAACACAGAAATTACTTTTGTATGCAAGAACATGAACCTTAAAAAAACAATTGGAACCTAATTACTAGTTGTTAATTCCATATTTAAGAGAAAAATAATAAAACGAAAACCTTCGATGCGTCCAGAGACGTGTTTAGTAGTGTCTTGACCATGTTATGATCATGCTTGTTTTCGTTTCTAATTCTGGAAGCGTCCTCACATGTTCAACACATATTAAACAAGTTCCAAGAACCAATTTCTAAGTATCAAACGAATTCCAAAAACCATTCTCTGAGTATCAAAAGCTGTCGTAGTAACTAACTTCCCTTCGAATATGAGTTAATTTCACCACGCTCATAAAAGATCATAATTAGAAAGATATTCACCATGGTTCCAGAATCAGAAAGTATCCCATTTAACAATTTCCAAATCTAAAAGATTCAAATCACTCATACACAAAGCCCTTAGGGGAAACTAAGAACCTAATATAATTAAATTAAATAAGATTAAAGCGATGAAAACCCATAAATTAAATCATCGAGAAATAGTAAATAAAATCTATAAAAAAAAGTTACCTCGAAGCGGATGTTTTTATAAACGAGCTCTTCCACGTTGCTACCAACAGTAGGATGGGTAGTAACAACCTCGCCCAGGTGAAGCTTGTAGAGCGTCGTCGTTTTGCCGGCATTATCCAACCCGACCACCACAATCTTATACTCCTTCGCGGGAAATAACATAAACCAAAACTTCGATATGAAAGCCCCCATCTTTCGCTTCTCCCTTAACCAAAAAAAAAAAACAATCAACCGCTTTGAATTTTTTTTAAATAAACCGATCAAAAAATGGGATCTAACAAAAGAAACAATATAAAGAAAATCCAAAAATGAATTTTTACCTGAATTAAGAGACTCGGTGGTGAATGCGACGAACGGCGGAGATCGTGGAGTAGGATAAACCGGAAGTTTTGGGAGAAATTCCGATCTGATTTTGGAAATTTAGGAAGAATGTGGGAAAATAAAAAAGAAGAAATAAATAAATATAAGAGAGATTGAGGGGCGTTGATGCTTGAACTGGTGGACACGGTCCTGGTGACGTGTATGACTTAGTGATGATTAGGTGGCCACTTTGTCATTTAATTTTGAGTTAATTACATCACATGTCCCCAATTTATAACTCTCATTTTAAATTGGTCCTAAAATATTTAAATATTTCAATTTTCCCCAAACTATGACTGTCATTCTAAAGTAGTCCTTAAAATTTTAAGCATTCTAATTTCATCCCTAAACTATGACCCTCTTTCTAAATTATATTCCAATTTTATCCCCAAATTCATCCAAATATATAATTAGTTTCGATCATAATTAACAAGGGATGTGATTAGTATCTACGTACAGTTTGGGATGAAATTGTAATATTCAAAAAGTTTGAGGACCAATTTAGAATTAAGGTCATAGTTTGGGGATGAAATTGAAATGTTTAAAAATTTTGGGATTAATTTAGAATGATAGTTATAATTTATGAAAAAAATGGAATATTTAAAAGTTTAGCAACCAATTTAAAATAAAAATCATACTTTGAGGACATGTGATGCAATTAACTCTTTAATTTTCCTTAATCCATCTTAATACTAACACTATGCACACAAATTTTGAATTATTTTCTTAACCACTAAATATCCTATTTTTCAATGCATTCAGTTGAATAAATTAGATGAATAAGTTGGATGTGTTAAAAACACAATTTTAATATTAATGAGTACTAAATATAAAAAATAGTTCATAATATTAAAGATGTTATAAGGTATTTTTTAGTAATTAAGAGTAAGATGAATAATACTTACCTCAAATTAATAAAATATTTTTTAATATTTCATAATATTAAGATATGATAAAAGAATTATTGTTATTTCTTGAGGACTCGAGTTCGAGCACTATAAATTTGAACGCACTTAAATATGTTATATTCATCTTATCGACTCTATTATTATCTTAATTATTATCTTTAATTTAACAAATTTGGAAATCAATCCAATTAAATCATCTTTATTAGGCTATATATCAATTAGCTATTTATATATACATGTATAAATGTATAATATATTTTAAATAACTCATAGTTTATTCCATAATTAGAGAATTAAACTTGTAAAGTATAGTCAATATCATTTTATTAATAATTAATAAATATATATCTACAATCAACTGATTTAATGAAATTGTGACGCTCCAACTCTAATTTAGACTTAGGTCTACGAGTGTTACATTTGAACCATCAAAATAATTTAAAATTTAAAGGCATAATGACAAAATTACTCCTTAATGCTTGTATAAATAGTTATTTTATCCTCTATTCTTATTTTAGAATATTTTACCTCTAACGTTTTAACTTTTGATTAAAACAAATCTTATTGGATGAAAAACGTTAGTTGATTGACAATGGATTGATGTTATGTTTTACATGTGTTCAACTGATGACATTGTTTTGCTTAAGCGGCTTATCGTAATTGGTTAACGTTTGGGATTGGTTAGAGATTACATAGCCATTGGTACCTAAATATTCGATTTGAATGAACTCGATTCAAACTCGAACTTGATTTGATTAACGCTCAATAAATATTCAATTTGAATGAACTTATTCAAACTCTAGCTTGATTCGAGTTATTAACAAGTCAAAACAAGTTATTTGATACCAACTCGAAAAGTTCGCAAGAAACTCGAAAAAATTATACATTAAAATTTTATTTTGAATATTAAAGTATCAATAATATTAAGAGAAAATAACCTCAGTGACCAAAAATCTCATATAATATACGATTTTAACCAACTTTTTCCGGATTTGCCAAAATGACCAACAAAATCGCAATGCGATCGCTAATTCGCAACGCGATCTCCATTATCGCAAATACGCGTTGCATTTTCGCAATGCGATAGTTGAAAATCGCGTTGCGATGGTCTACAGTATCGTTGCGATTTTCCCAATTCGCAATGCGAATAAGTAAATCGCAACGCGAATTGGGAAATTCGCAATGCGAATAAGTAAATCGCAACGCGAATTGGGAAAATCGCAATGCGATACTGACTATCGCAATGCGATAATAAAAAATCGCAACGAGATACTTACTTTCGCAACGCGATACTGACTTTCGCAACGCGATAATACATAATCGCAATGCGATTTTCAAAGCGCCATTAGTATCCTGGCCAAGTATTTTATTTTTAAATTCCAAACATGAATATAAATATATTGGAACACTGAACTGTCCACAGTATATCCCGTAATCGCAACTCATAACCTAAAACCTAAAATCACAACTCAGTCCCATCTCCATCTCTCACTCTCTCACCCATCTCCGACGAAATCCGTCCCCATCTCCGGCGAAATCCGTCTATCTAAATCTCTCAGAGCCACCCTAACAATCAGAAATGGAAAATCAACCAAATCAACCAACGAGGGTTAGTTTTTTTAATTATTTTCTTTTTGAAATTTTTGCATTATTATTAGGTTTTTCATATTGAAATTGATGATAGGTTTACTGGTAATTTCAATAATAGATTAACCATTTCACTTAGATTGCTTATTAAATCAACCAAGAATCGCAACGCGAAATGCAAATCGCAACGCGATTTTAGTTTCGCGTTGCGATTCTCTCGTTGCGATAGTCATTTTCGTGTTGCGATTTTCATTTTCAGAAACTATTCTTCTTCTGCAAATTGAAACTTGAATGAATTGCATTACTTCAACCAAAAAACAAAGACAAATACGAAATTCACAGTGTTGCATATTTAAGTTTGAAGAATAAACTACTACTATTTATGTTTATTATTGTTTTTGGTATATCTTCACAGTGTAGTTTTTGGTATATCTAATTTAGTATGTTTATTGTTTTTGTAGAACTTTTATTCGGCTCAATTGACCTTGAGAAATAAAGTCAGCCTGGCCAAAACAATTGCGTCGAAGCTTTCACCTGCACAAAGAAAAATGTTTGAGGATACATGCTTCGGGCCATGGCTGAAAGTACAACATCCCGGTGGAGATGCGATGTTGACACACCTGTTTCTTCAAACCATGACTAGAGATCTACCAGAGACTATACAACGTCGTGATGAAGAGATATGGTTTGATTTTCCACCGGCGTATACGTGTTTTGGGCGGGAGGAGTTTTGCTTAATCACCGGTCTACGCTTCGGACACGATGATGTAGGTCGGTACACTAGACACATTACCCGCCCATCATGGCTATCCCGGGTTTTTCCTGAGCTGGAGAGGCCGAGTCTACACGTAGAAGACCTGACAAGATTTTTGAATAATAAAGATGGTTTTACTCGGATGGATGACGTCGACGTTGTCCGAGTATGCCTTCTAATTCTTTTGCATGCCGGCTTTTTAGGCAGAGAGGCCAGACAACCTATTCCAAATGATCTAATCAAATTGGTAGAAGACCTAAATGCGTGGAACCTGTTTCCGTGGGGCTCGTATTTATGGAAAACTACATGGAATAAGTTATCGTCTGCATTGGATGATCGAAAAAGTTTGCATGGCGATGGTTCCAAATACACTTTGACAGGCTTTATTTGGGCCTTTAAGGTAAGAATTTTTATATAATGTTTCCAAAATTATAAGTAATTATTTAACAATTACTAATGTTTGTTATTATATTGTTTGTAGATTTGGATATTTGAGGCCTTTCCCTCCATGAAGACATATGCAATAAAAACTTCAAATAATATTCCCAGGGCTATTTCCTGGAAGAGGAAACGAACCTTGCAATGGGAAGATTTACTACGGTATACGACAATAAATAATGTAAGTTAACATAAATACTACCATATGTTTATAAACAAGTTATTACTAGTACACATTTAACTTTGTTTAAGCTTTTATATTGTTAGGAGGCCAACACTCCTCTACAGAGGCTGACACCCACGGAAGCTGAGCTTGCCACTGATTGGTGGCAAGCTAGTAAGCGTTTTTTTGATGGAACGGTTGATGAGCAGCCTCCACTTCGGGAGCCATCACCTCGCCCAGAGCTATCACCTCACCTAGAGCCATCATCTGATCGACCCGGCTATACACCTCCACAACGACAGCCATCACCTATTCTTTCACATCATCGAGCCTCTTCTCCACCATCACCGCAAGATAGGCGACCGGCAAAGATGTCACGACGTTTATCTCCCTGTTCTCCACCTCCACCTCAACGGGATGAGTTAGGGGAGTTACGTGATGAGGTCAATGCCTTGCGTGAGGAGGTCGGTACTTTACGCAAAGACGATGGTGCATGGCGTGTTGAGGTGTCTACATTACGCGGTGAGGTAGCCGCTCTACGTGAGATGGTAGCATCGTTGCAGAATGAGGTTCATACTCTACGCAACGAGGTAAGTTTAAGATTTTTTATACTCGTAATTCATTCGGTTGCTGCCAATCTGTTTTTGTTAGTATTTGTTTTTGGTTTTGTTTTTGTCTTTTGGTTGAAGTAATGCAATCCATTCAAGTTTCAATTTGCAGAAGAATAATAGTTTACTTTCGCAACACGAAAATGACTATCGCAATGCGGAAATGGCTATCGCAATGCGAAATGAAAATCGCAACGACAAAATCGCAACGCAAAATGAAATCGCAACGACAAAATCGCAACGCGAAATGAAAATCGCAATGCGATTTGTGTTTCGCGTTGCGATTTTGTCGTTGCGATTTCATTTTGCGTTGCGATTTTGTCGTTGCGATTTCATTTCGCGTTGCGATTTTGTCGTTGCGATTTTCATTTCGCATTGCGATAGCCATTTCCGCGTTGCGATAGTCATTTCGCGTTGCGATTTTAAGTTTCGTGTTGCGAAAGTAAACTATTCTTCTTCTGGAATGTTTATATATGTTGTCCTTTTAAATGTTTATATAAGTGCTTACTTCTGGAATGTTATCTGAGCATTTTGTGAACTATGATAGAATAATGATTTAGGTGAATACAATGCTAGTTTGAAACATATTTGTCTTTGTTTAATATCATGTCTGTTTATTTACTGATTTATGTATTAATTTTTT